TATATTCGATAACGAACTTAAATATCTCTTTACCTTCTTTTTACTTTCTCGAAATACACTTTTATAACCAAACAACTATAATTAGCCCAGATTATGACATACCCAGTAATACTTCAGATAAAAGAAAGTGTTAACATTTTTTTAAAGAATTCTGAAATTTACTTTCACTTCATTTTTCAAGTTTCCTACTTTTATGAGTGCACCAAATTGCGGTTGAAATGGCAAAACACAGATAATATTGCAATTAAAAGTATATGATTTTAGGGGAACTCTATTTGTATATCACTTAATAACCCAATATGTTAAAAATTAATAAATCGAGTCAACGACCCGCCTGAAAATTCCAGATGATTTAGCCGCTCGAGTAGCAACCCCCCGACGTCGCTCAGAATTAACCCCTTCGATTAAGCAGAAATCTGTCGTTCCAATAAGGAGATTGGCATTATCGTGTCATTGTGTCAAAGTCGATATTGTCCGTCAACAGCACGTTCTCTCGCTTCGTTGAAAGCTGACGGTGATCGGAAGTGTTCCACGCAGGTCATCGTTTCGATGCTCGAAATAAATTTCGTGTATCGCTGCTTATCGGTTGCAACAAACTCGGTGAACCATTGCATTTCCGTGTCGGGGAAAAACAATCGATAAGACCGTTTTGCTCGCTTTCTTTCCCATTCGTTTTCTCGCTTTCGTTATCTCGAGTGTTTGAACAGTGACGTCGTTCGAAAGTGGATTCGACGAATACCGGTGTTTGTCAAGGGTTGCTCTCAGAAAAACAGCGATTCAATAGCAAGAATTCTACATAGCTAGCAGGAATTCAAATTCACGTTTTTGATTAAATTCCACCCTTAGAAATGAAGTAGGGTTCATAGGCTTAACGGAGGGTTGATTTAAGGGTCAACCTACAACCTTCAAAAGGGTTGTATCGAAGAAACAGTTTACCCAACTCGAAATCGATAATTATATTCTGTTGTGAGAATCATCTCGATAACACGTTACTAGCCAAACTGCCGCTCCAATTGGAAACAGTGCCAAATTAAACGCGCGTGCTCTCGCGCGCAAATTCATTCGAATGCAATCGAGCGTGTTTTTGCACGAGTGTGTTTTTCCACGGTATCAACGTGGCAGGCAAGGTCAAACGGGTACTTGACGCGATAGTTGGCGCCATCGTACAATAAAAGGCCAATGGCACCGATCGTGCATCCTTCTATGGACATGCGATTTTTACTAGTCGTTCACATCGTTGTAAACTTTAAACCGTGATTTACTACGTCCAACGTTTCCAGACGAAGTTTCTCGGTAATCACGTAAGGGCACCGTGCACGGCCACTTTCTCGGAATACTTCGCGCGTAAAGTCGTGTCAGAATGCGATCGTATCAAACTTGTTTTCAACGCGGAGATTCCTCGCGTTGAAAAATAGTTTACGTTTTTATTTTCCTGTTTTTAGTCTGCATTCGTTTTCCGTCCATCCAGTGAAAGTATTCAAAATCATTTTTTTGTCGTTCAATTTAGCGACATTCGTTTTTAATATCTTGCAGTGGTAATACAATATTGTTACCCAACTTCATTCCTTCGATTACGCTTGCGTAGGAGAGTGTCTTCGCATAAGAGCACCGGAATGCTTCATTTTTCTCCAAGATCTGCTTTCGCTCTAGAAATAGATCGGACAAGAGGTGACCTCGGTCTCCAAGATCGAATGACATATTTTATTCCCTCCATTCCCACGCAGTTTCTTATTGTGATTTTCCTTTGGAACAAGGAAAATTTACCTTTCGGTTCATCCATATAAAGACTGTTCGATTGACCTTTGACTACGTCATGAATGGAGAGACAAGTAGCCTTTGTCCTTTCTGGACATAAAAAGTTCACCCTATCCCAGAATAAAAATATGTAACTTTATTAAGCAACAATTTGACTGGAAAAATAATAGAAAGTTAATAAAAATAATGGACATAGAAAGTTCACCCTATCCCAGAATAAAAATATGTAACTTTATTAACCAACAATTTAACTGGAAAAGTAATCGTATGATTTTAAGTAGCCACATATATACAGATAGTTTATCCATAAATATATAAAGATGGATCTGTGTATACACTTTTAGGTCCAATTAGATTTAGGTTAAGTAGAGGTCTAGATCTGAGTACTTAGACTTTTAAACATACAGGGATATAGGATCCAGGAATTTGATAATATTTCAATATGACGCCTGTGTTGCTATCATGTTTACTCGAAATTAAACTTTGCACCCTCTAACCCGATTTCGCCCATGATTCACCCCTTAGTCTACTTCTCCTACGTTAAATACGATTTCAATGGAAAATCTAGAGCAAATATGTTTACGTTTGATATTACTCAACGTTGACTGATAAGCAATATCGTGCATTCGCGACAACATACTGCGTCGAGTGTCTCGAAAATAAGGCACAAGTCCTGGTCGATAAAGGTTAATCGAGTTATCTTGATCGTCAACTGGTATCCCATAATGTTTTATTCATCGCCGATGAGGAGGGTCGTAGGTCAGGTAGGTTTCGTTGGTGGCAGCCAGTAAATCGCAACTAGTGTTCTCGTGCGTCATTTGTCGCCCACCTCGAAAGCCGATAAGTCGCGTCGGTGTTCCTCCGTTCATTTCTCCATAATGGTCTACGTGTGACGTAACGCCGATGAAAATATCTGTGCTAGTTCCGATAAATTGCGGTATCGCTGTCAAGTACACCGCTCAGCCTGGTTATCGGGCGTATTCGCGATCGGCTGCACGCGTCGCACGCGTCACGAATTCCGCGATCTGAACGATTTCTGAAGAATCTTCACGATGACTCTTGTTTTCCCAGTTAATCTCGAGAGATTATGAATTAGAACTTTGGCTGTCGAGCATATCGATCGAGAAGCATGCATCGAAGAAAGTTGCACTCGAGTCAAATGATCTTATGAAAAATAAAGAATGAACCACAGAGAACTCTGTAGTTTAACGTATGAATATACGTGTCATTCCCAGGCTTTTACGTCTTAGTTTTTTGTGGAGTCTCATTAGAAACTTAGCGAAAATCAATATTCATTACCTACGCAATTAAAGAAAAACAAGTGGTATTTTCGTAGTCAGAAGATCGAAAAGGATTAAAATACCGCAGAAGTCATACTTCAGCTTCCCCGAAGAATTCATAAGATTTATTCATTCCGCAATTTCCTCATAGTTCGCTTGTTTGCTCCACGTATGACGCATATCCTAACGCGAATCAATCTCGAAACTATGCGAGGAACTTCATTTGCGGCATATCGGTCGCGTAGGAATCAAATGTCACGCGTTCAGGGGAAAGAACGCTATCATGTGGCATTTTGACTGAAACGACTGAAAGAATAAACTCTATAATTGGCGCGTGATCGAGCGATTTTCCGGAAGAATGCGAAACCGATAGAATTGTTCTGTAACCGTGAACTCGCCTACTCCCGAACCAATTATTCGCGACACGTAAACGATTCGATTATCCGAACGATAGCGCAGTGGAATGACGCACAAAGTGGAGAACTATCGTCATCACCGCTGACGAATTTACTCTACTACTATGCCAAATGCCGAAAACGGACGATGACTAGCTTATTTCGATGCCACTTATAGTACCGTAATCTCGCTAGCCCGTTGACCTATTTCAGAACGTGATCTTTTTAAATCGGAATTTTGTTTGGGTACATTACTTCAATATGGTATATCAATTTGAGAGTTTAAATTTGGAAATTTTTGTTATATTTCGACGTGATAGGACACTTTCGGTATGAAGCGGTTATTTAAAATTTTTGTATTTCACCTTTTATATATTTGTGATATACGATAAAAAATTTGTCTCGTATCTTAAGCTTAGACTTTTGACCCTCTTACTATGGGACTTAGAAATAGTGCACTCTATCTACTACTCTACATTTATAGATACCGAAAATCTGGAAAGTTGATGTACTTAGACTTTCGACTCTCCATTTGCCACGGGAATTAGAGACACTAGGTACTCTCACTCGTCTGTGCTCTTGTAGATACTAGGAGGTACTTAGACTTTGAACACTCTGATTGCCATCGGAACTTACAAATTATTCGCTCTGTACTTTACCTGACGTGTACCTTCTAAAGATCCATTCTGAAGGTTGCTATGGTATTTAGACTTTCAGCCATGAGTAGAAATCGCCAAAAATTTTAAAGATCCCCAAGTAAACTTAGAGTCAATTCTCTGTAAATCAAACTTGACTGAAACTTCAAGAACCCTTATTGCACCCTTTTGCCCTTCATTCTTGTACTCTTCACTCGATCCCAACTCTTCAAAACAAATTACAAGTTCCGTGAACAGTGTGATTGGAATTGTTGCAACGGTACACAATCGTTCCGTGAACGATAAGTTAGTCACTGGTTTCCCAAGAAAGCGGTGCGATTCGCCAGCTTCGATCGAAAATAAAAGTGACCGAGGAAATCGGATCACGAGGCGATCAGCAGAAACAACGCAGTTCATTCGCCCACAAGACGCGAGTTGAAAAGTCAAAGCGCCTTCTTCGTGATGTCTATACAGCGTGCTAAGAATAGCTCGTGGCGATCATTGCTTCTTGTCACCTTCGTCGCCGCTGCCTCTGTTCAATGTTGTAAACAATCGTCGTTAGCTGCCACGCAAATATTTCATGACGTCGACGTCGCATCTTCCGTCGACGCATGCCCCACCTGTCTAAACTGCCTGCGAGAAAGTCTCACAAAGTTTCTCGCAAGCCTTTTAGCCAATTTACCGTCCGTTGTTCACCGTGTATTACCTTCCGTACACGTGTGCATTGTTCGCTGAAAAACATGCTTCCTTGTTGCTACCACCTGTAACGCGGGAGCATGATTCTGGATTGCAGTCAGTAAATAATTTAATATTAGATATTTAGCTAGGTATAGTTTAGCTGTTATAAAGAATTATATTCATATGTCTCTCATGTCTGGAAACCCAATAAAGTTTCCTTTTCGTCCGAGAAATCATCGCAGATTCTCATTTTGCAGGAGGAGAAAATCAAGATGTTGAGAGCTGGGTCTATATTCGGTGTACTGGTCCTAGCGGCCATCGCGAACGTGGTAGTCTCGAACCGCTGCCTGACTATGCTCGAAGGTAAATCGATGTACATCTTAATTATAGAATCTTGCCCCTTTGACCCTATTGAGCGGAGTCAACGTACTGGGAAAGATGAGCTAAAGGATTGGTTTTAACAGAGGTCAATCCGAAGAGGGTGGTCCAGATGGATGGGCACTCGTTGAACATCACCTTCGAGGTCTCCGAAAGAGTGACACAGAGGCTGTCTACGATTATCATGAAAATCTTTTTGACCGAAGTGCTCGGTTATACCGGAGTGTCCGTCTTCGAGGTGGAAGACGAATTCAAAGTGAACGAAACATTCAGAAGATTGACCGACGACGTTTCGTCTGGACAAAGAGTGTAAAATACCAAAATTCTATCTAGTATTAATTAAAATTCGGCTCGAAAAATAAAAAGTGCGAAGCAACATCTTTTTTTTGCATACTGATCTTTGCGGTCGGGGAAGTCTTATGTTGCAAGTCATAGATCGTTTGCATGTAAATTGATTCATAATGTATATCGAGATCTGTTGAGACTAAAAGCAGAAAATGAATACCTGGCAGTTAAGAATTTGGGGGAATTTTTGAACGACACATTAATGCATATAAATTAGCATAAAGCAAGATATATTTTTGTGAGTCGTTTTATGTATAAGACGATCTTGGTTCATATTTCGAGCGGAATATCTTGAATAATATTTAACATAAATTACGGTCCGATTAGTGTTGAGTAATAAGCGTATATTTTTAATAATCTAAAATATAAATGATTGGAAATAGAATACCTTGAAAAAAGAAGAGTAAATTATTAATACACGAATGACTAAAAAGGCAAAGATAGAATAAAATAACTATTGTTTCGCGAGGTTGTTAGAAGAAAAAGAAAGATGTATTAATTTATGAGGAAAATAAATTCCTAATTTCGTGCATCAGGCTTCCAATGGTGAACATGGAGGTCTGGATTCCGCCGCAGTTGGACACGATGCCATTGTTAAACGCGAACGACGTGAAGGAATGCGGATCCATTGCACCGCCGGGTCATTTCGGTTGGTTCGTTCCTAAATCGTTGTCGAGGCTCGGTGACAGTTGGATAACCTTCACAAGGCCGGAGACAGCCACTCGATTCGACGTGGACGAGCACACCTTAAACAGAATTCAAAATTTCACCGTGAATCCCATCAACAAAACCTACTACTGCACGGAGCCGTTTTGCCAGCAAGGAATGTATGTTCCCGAACGGTGTCAGGGTCAATCTTGTGCTCTGTTACTGACCAGTTATCCTAACGTAACCGACTACGTGAAAAGCCACATCGACAGCTTGAAGTTGTTCGTGAAGGTGGTCTGGGTGGGACCGAATCTGAAGTACCTCACTGAAACCTTGACCAGAGAATATTCCACTGCTAATAGGTATATTTAATCAGCTTGAAAATTTCGGTCTTTTTCATTTAAAGTTTAACTTTATCAGATTGCGATTAAACCGTTCTGAAAAACGAGGATGTAAACTGTTGTAGCGTTAATAACTCTTGATAATCTAAACCTTGATCTAACGCCGGGCGATATCGTGCTTGCGTGACAGTATAACGTTTGATCACTCAATATATTTAGCGATATAGCGCTTAGTGTGTAACACGGGATAAATGTAACGCGTAATAATACAATGCGTAGTTATACAGATTATAGTATAATTTAGATTACAGTATATACGGCCACCCGCGTTAAATTCGTGTTTTCGTCGATGTACAGGTCCCTGGTGATCTTGCATTGGACCCCAAGCAGCGTAGTTCCAAACGAAAGGGACTTCGCGACGATCGAGTTCGCTCGTTGCAGCAACAAGCTCTCCGAAGCTGGTTGCAACTACGAATCCAATCGATTGACCAAACTAGTGTGGGCCCGCCTCGAGTACATCGCGAAGCTGGCCTTCGAAGCGATCAATCACGCGAAATTCACTGGCGAGATGTACGAGGACCTGATCAACCGTTACAACACACTATCACGGAAAATGGACGAAGAGGAGATCGCGTGTGGTTGGCTGAAGGACAATTTGAACTACACCTTGCAAGAATGGATGCCGAACAACGCAGACAAGAACGTACTCTACGTGGGTGGTATATTTCCCATGAGCGAGGCGTTTTATTCGGGCAAATCGATTCTGATCGCAGCCAAGATGGCCAAAGAGGCTATCAACGTGAACAACACGGTACTCAGGGACTACAATTTGGCGTTGTTGGCCAACGATGGTCAATGCAAATCGGACATGGTGATGAGATCCTTCATCGATTACATAGTTCATAATCAGTACGATAAGCTGGTCGGTGTTTTGGGACCTGCTTGCTCGGAAACCGTGGAACCACTGGTCGGTGTATCGAAACATTACAAGACCGTTATCATCAGCTACAGCGCCGAAGGATCCAGCTTCAACGATCGCACGAAGTATCCGTACTTCTTCCGTACGATCGGTGAAAACAAGCAGTACAAACATGTTTATCTGCAGCTGTTGAAGAAACTAGGATGGCGACGAGTGGCATCATTGACGGAGGATGGACAGAAATACACGGAGTACATATCCTACATGCAAGACATGTTGAGGGACAATGGGATCGTGTTTGTGGCGAATGCTAAATTTCCCAGAGAACGAGAGGCCGATGTGATGACCAAGGTAATGGATGTTTCATCTTAACAATTTTCTGACAGTCTGACGTCTCTAGGTACAGATCGACGTTGAAACGGCTCAGATGTTCTACACTTGTTGATTAAGCGCAACGTCAATAATCGTTTTTAACTGGGAATTATTCATTTCGATGAATAAATTGCACGTGCAGCGTTTTACATTATACACACATGAATTATGGAAAATAATGCACGTGTACGTTCATAGTTTGTTACCGTGGTGTTGGCTACCGTTATCGGATGATCGGCTTTGGATTAGATTTTGTGATTTCAGAGATCATTAGTTTTTTCGAAACGATTTGTTTCCTGTTTTTTTGTGGTAGTATGCTGACCGCGGTAATGATTATTGACGACGCTGATAAACGAGTAGTTAAAAAATAATATAAATTAAAAAATTCATTTTTGACAATTCGATTTGAAAGAGAATTTATTTTAGCGCTTTTATTCTTGATGATTTAAATATATAGAAGTCTGGTACCGGTCACCGTGACCTCCATGACCAGTAACGCAAAACCCGCAAAATATTAAAACAACATTGTAAGTGCACATAAATATCGCGAACGTTAAGCGTGCGACATAGTTCGTGAAAAACTGTCATTTATTTGCATTACTATCTTTATACAAGTGCAGAGCAATTTCGCATGCACACGTGCGGCTAATAACCTGACGCGCATACGTTTAACGAACGTAACGAACATGCTTTTCAACTTACAGTACCTGCAAGATTTGAAGCAGAAGAGAGCGAAAATCATCATTGCCGATGTGTATGACCAGGTAGCCCGGCAAGTCATGTGCGAGGCGTACAGATTGGAAATGACTGCCGTTCAGGTACCTAAAATAATGAATTAATAATTGAACAATATTCTAATGTCACGTAATTAAAATTCCAATAAAAAGTAATGAAATGAAATGATTCCCAATTAGCCTTAAATACCTAATAAGTTAATCTCATATGTATTCAAGGGCTACGTCTGGTTCCTACCCCTTTGGCTTCGCCCAGAATGGTACGACACCGACCGGTACAATCAAGAAGGCGAACAGGTGCCATGCAACACGATGGAAATGAGCAAAGCCATAAACGGTCACCTAGGCCTGTCGCACGCGTATTTCGCTCCAGACGACGATGTTATGCAAGAGGGAATAACCGTGAGACAATGGCGTGATCGTTACGAGCTCTACTGCCACAAGAAACGTCAACCACCTTCGAATTACGCTGGTTTCGCCTACGACGCGATGTGGACCTACGCTTACGCCATGGACCGTCTCCTCCGAGAGAACCAAAGCTACGTCTTCGATCTTCACAGCACTCAGACTATCAACCGGTTGACGGATATCATTGGTCAAACGGATTTCCAAGGGGTGAGTAGAAAACGAGCGTCGAAGTGAATTTTCTTGTCTGTTGTGATCGTCAGTGGACTCTGAAGATCATCAATTATGGACATCTATTATCGTACACAGGAGAATCAAACGATTATTTCAGGTGTCGGGCAGAATCAAATTCTTTGGCGGTCCTTCGAGGTACTCGGTGATCAACATCGTTCAGTTCGTCAACAACGAGACACGATTGGTCGGTAATTTTTATCCCAATGTGTCGGAGACGAAACACGAGGTGATCGGTGGGAGGTTGGACTTGAATGTGTCTGCCTTGGTGTGGCTGTCACACACGATGCCCGACGATGGCTCAGAACCACCCCCACGATGCGTAATAGCTGGATTCGCCGATTTCTTGAACGTGTCCTGCGAAGTGGCGTTCGTTATCGTCAACTTCCTCGGCTTCGGTTTGCTGGGCGTTATACTCATTATTGGGTTCATCATCCTTAAGAGAAAGTGAGTGCTCGTTGACTCTATTAACCTTTTACGATGAATTCACACATGTGTTTGAATATAATTACCTAGCTACCCGCGCGAATAACTTCGAGCAGTTGAACATTATGTAATGTATGATCGAAGGAACGTGGCGCTTACTATCGATTTAATTTTCACATCATTTTAGGTACGAACGGAAGGTGCGTTTTCACGAGCAGTACATCAAATCCTTGGGTTTGGATTTCGCTCACGCCGACACTTCCGACTTGGACAAATGGGAAATACCTCGAGACAGAGTGGTTATTAACCGAAAGTTAGGCGAGGGTGCATTCGGAACAGTTTACGGTGGTGAAGCGTTCTTCCCCGAGAAAGGGTGGCTCGCCGTTGCCGTGAAGACTCTGAAGGTCGGAAGCTCGACCGACGAGAAATTAGACTTCCTCAGTGAAGTCGAAGTGATGAAGAGATTCGAGCATAAAAACATTATTAAGCTGCTGGGGGTGTGCATCAAGGGCGAGCCTGTATTAACCGTCATGGAATTTATGTTATACGGTGACTTGAAGACGTATCTCCTCGCTCGAAGGCATCTCGTCAACGACCATAACTATGAAGACTCGGACGAAATTTCGAATAAAAAATTGACTGCTATGGCGCTGGACGTGGCCAGGGCGCTCAGCTACTTGGCTCAAATGAAGTATGTTCACAGGTACGTTGATCAGATATTAATAATATCTTATTGATTTATTTTCGATTTGAATGGTTTTAATAATGTACATCTTTTTAGGGACATCGCTTCTAGAAACTGCTTAGTGAATGCTCAACGCGTGGTGAAACTCGGCGACTTCGGTATGACTAGGCCGATGTACGAGAACGACTACTATAAATTTAATCGGAAAGGTATGAAATTGCAAATGTATACAGTATTTACTTCACTGAGCCATTTCGGGGTTATTAAGTATTATGTGGCATTATCTGCGATGATAGTAAGCACGAATGATGATGGTCTAGGTATGCTGCCAGTGAGGTGGATGGCACCAGAATCTCTAGGTCTAGGAATCTTCAGTCCAGCTTCAGATGTCTGGTCCTACGGTGTTTTACTGTACGAGATTATCACTTTCGGCAGTTTTCCATTCCAGGGGATGAGCAACAACGAGGTGCTTTCTCACGTGAAAGCTGGAAACTCGTTGACTGTTCCTAAAGGAGTGAAATTGCAACTGTAAGTCCCTTCGGATCCTTCTTCAAGAGATCCTATACAGGATCGTCATAACCAAACTTGTTACTTTACAGAGAAAACTTGATGTATTCTTGCTGGAGAGTGGACCACACCAAAAGGCCAACTGCGCCGGAGATCGTTGAGTTCCTAGCCACGAATCCTCGAATACTATCCCCGTGTTTAGACGTTCCTCTGGCCAGCGTGCAGATCGAGCACACGGGCCAACTCGAGATGCAGTTGCCAGAAACCTTCCGAAAGTTCTCTCTGTCATGGTCATCTCAGAATCACCAGACTGCTCGATCCTCCACGTCAGCCTCCAACCCTCTGGAGACGCCCAATCCTCCTCTGCTCGACATAAATTATCAGGACGACAAACCGAACCAGGAATCGCTATTGGGTGACGCAGTGTCTGACGTAGACAGTGCCAAGCCTCTGTTGATGAATTCCAGCAATGGGTCCTCAGCATTGATCGTGAACATGCAAAATTTCAAACGAAACGAAGAACAACCGCATAGATACGTCAACATTCAACCAGGAGCGTTGACGAGCTTCGATTCCGCTACGAGAGGACAAAAAGATGTCGCGAACATTCAGATGGAGGAGAGAAACGCTATGCTGCCGCAGCACAGGAATTCAGAGGACGTGTCGATTCTTTGACAGCAGCGACAGCGAACGATTTCGAGACAGAAATCGATGGTGCACTTCTACAGGCGCGCCGAGGGCATATTTGGAAAATATGCGAAAAGGTCGTACAGGAAAACGAGCGTTTAGTCGTTCGGCCATCTTGTTTGGTCGACCGAGGACCGATGAATGATTCCGAGTGCGATCTGGTAAAGCGCAGTTTGTTCACGTGGAGATTAAAATCCTGCCGATTTGAGTAGATGACTACACAGAAGCTGCAGAATCATAGGTACCAGTGATGAACAAGAAACGATATCAGTTGCAATAAGCGAAAATGTACAGGTGCAGGCTTCCGAGCGTACGAGAGGAACTGATTCCGTAGATTTTCGCTCAATCCACTTTTGAGACTGATACATACACGCATATATAATATATAGAAGAATTAAGTTATCGGTGCGACAACGATGGAAATCTCTGAGGAAACAATTTCTTACGTGAAAATTGATGATCGTGGACGAAATTTTAATCGTTGATACGTAGTCATTTAACGAGTGGAGTAGAAATTTCCATCGAGGTTGCGACGAACAGAAGTAAAAAGGCTGCTTCAATTACGTACATCGTATGTATTCGACTGATAAGCAACTTTGTTTCCGAGCAAAATTTCACGAGTAGCATTTTTCTGTTCACGTACAATCACTTGTGAAAGTCTTCGAACAAGTGAAAATGCCATTTTTGTATTTTTCGAGACTATGGGTTGCGTTAGTATTTTTAATTATTATGTGGAGTTTTCCTATATTCCTTTCCAAATAATTCCAAACGTGATTTATAAGGTTTACATCACATATTTATTATACTACGTCTTTTTGTCGAAGTGCAGCTTAGGTAATGTGCGACTCTTTCGTGGATACGAAGATTTTCATGAGTGATTATATATATTCTCTTGGCACTGATTCTCGAGTAGAATTCCTGCAAACAGAAGAAAGAAAACTTTCCAGGCATTTTGAAACGAACGAGAAGAAACAGAAGAGCAATATTTTTAAACGAGCACCATCGTTCACGTAACCATGACATTTGTATAGAAACGTATATTTTATTCGAACACGTTTCAAAATCGCCGGGAACACAGTTAATATTCGAAGATGAAGGTCTTCTCAATAAACCGTGAGTCTATGCTCGAATATCAAATTATCTAGATACAAAATTATTTGAATAAGGAAAATTCGAATAGTTATTTAGATAATTATTTATCTAGAGAATGTCCTGTCCGAGTATCATAAATTCATGACTCCAGTTACCAGTTCCATGTATACACGATATAATATATTTTTTGATCCATCTTTTACGCTATACATATAATTAGCGGTTCAAACAAAAACTGGTACTCCAGTTAACTTCGATAACACTTGATCCTCGCTAGAATCCTACTGAAACGGTTACTATACTTCAAGATCACGTCTAGCGATTATTTATTTAACGAGAGAAACTCTATCGAGACTACTTTTGTAATTAACTTTCCTCGTCGCGAGCATCGGTCTGAAAGCAATTTATTTTTATTTATAGTTAGAAACGTTGCTCGCGACGAGAGTTAGTCTGTTCTTTAGGTGCAATAACATTCTACGTCTTTGTATAAGCTACTAAAGATTTCTTAGATGTATACTATTATTATATATGAATGTTAATATTGGGGTACATGTCAGTGGCCAATTTAAAATGTTCGTGAAATAATCAAAATGAATCCACGTTACTTCAGATGAAATATTTATAATTTTTAAATGGGAAGAAAAGATATTTAATCGTAGTTTAGAGACAACAGTGATGAATTGATGTGATTATGTGAAAATTTGTGATGTATGGATATCGTTGAAATTTGTAATTCTATTTGGTCACACGTATTTGTACCTGTACTACAGGTTGCCTGAATTTTAATAGCAATGGTCAAGAAAACGATGTTTCGTTCCATTATGTATCTACTTTATTAACAAGACGATCTATTTATTTCTCGTATTTAGTACGGACGATACTTTGACCATTACGTTGCTCATTATTCTAAGAACGTTCTCATATTTTATATGATTTTCTAGCAAAGCATTTTTTTTGTTTGTTTTTTACTTATCCAAAGAACATGTTCCTAGTGTTTGACCAATTAAAATTCAGACACTCTGTGCCCTTTATGAACGTCGAATAATCGTTGTCTAGCAATGTTAACAATAATCCGAAATGACTGAGAGGAACGGTAAACCGACAGAAAGTATTTTAAAATTCTCACTTTAATTCCAGTTCGTAGTTGCTTCGAGACCATACCGCGAGATATGTTCAAACGTACGTTCATTTTGTTTGCATACATCAAAGTGACCCGGGGAAGAAAATATTCATATTGCATGTTACATCACATCGATCAACGACACGCTTATCGTAGTACTTAGTGGTAAATTTCTTCTTCTTTCTTTTTTATATCGGGTATAAGTAAATGATACAAGTGAACGTATGTAGTCGATGTTATAAGCACTGGCGTAACTTGGACTTTAGTTCTTGGAAATTTGGTGACTTGCAAATTTAGCAGTTTGGGAATTTGGAAATTTGGTGATTTGAAGATTTGACAATTTGGAAATTTAGCAATTTATTGACTTGCCAATTTAGCGATTTGGAAATTTGGAAATTTATTGACTTGCAAATTTAACAATTTAGAAATTTGGGAATTTGGTGACATGACAATGTAACAATTTGGAAATTTGGAAATTCGATGACTTGCAGATTTAACAATTTAGAAATTTGGGAATTTGGTGACTTGACAATTTGATGATTTGGAAATTTGGAAATTTGATGGCTTGCAAATTTAGCAATTTGGAAATTTGGAAATTTGATGACTTGCAAATTTGCGAACTTGGAAATTTGGAAATTTGATGACTTGCAAATTTGCGAATTTGGAAATTTGGAAATTTGATGACTTGCAAAATTAACAATTTGGAAATTTTCAAACTTGATAACTTACAAATTTAATAACTTGGAAATTTGATAACTTACAAATTTAACAACTTGGAAATTTGACAACTTGAAAATGAAAAAATTTGAGAATATGAAACCTAAAAAATGGATAATCAGATTTGAAAAATTGAGACACTGTGAATTAAATTTCCAAGCCCTTTTCACCAAGTTACGCCAACTATAGTTCTTTTTTCCGATGTTTTCTGCGTATAGCGCAGAGAACGGTAGCACATGAAAATCGAACATTCGTACACGAATTCGTGTACGTGACAGTACAATCCTTCCTAAATAGCTTTACGTGAAACTTCACCGTAACAAAATCTTATCGCGATGTTATTTATTCATAAATTGTACAGTTGTAGTTTTATATTCGTTGCAGATGATAAGATGTATGAAATGTTATGCGTATATTGTTCTTGTACAGATATTGTTATCAGATGATAACATATTTATTACGCTTTTTCGAATTAAATTATATAGAATAACAATTCTTTAATTTCTTCTTATTTATGGTTGGTAAATGTGAATGTATAGTTGGTATTTTAGATTTATGTTTAATTTACTGTCGGTAGCTCTGTTTTATCACAGGGAGTAACTTTGGTTGATGAAGCTTAATTTGGCTTAATTAATGTTAATGTGTGTCAAACAGTATTGGAGAGCAAGAATAATTAATTTCGAAATGTTTCAACTTTAGCAAGTTATTATAAGTTTTAAATAATTCTTGGTTTAATTAGGATTTTCTTATGTGCTGCCATCTAGTGGTAGAATGTGGGAATTAATCAAAGTAGAGTTTCAAAAGTGTGTAGTTCACCCGGTTCGCCGGAGAGATGGCGCCACATATTCAATTAAAAAAAATGCAATTAATAATTATTTTATTAGCTTAATTGAGTGTAATATTCATCAAATTACTTAGGGGTGTAAGAGTAATTATCTTTAGAATATTTTAAATTTCGCAACTTGCTTTCCTGCAGTCGGTAATTTTCTATTTTACTGTTGCTGGTAACTCTCTGCTCTTGTTGCAGTCGATGAAGCAGTCGGTCCACAGAAATCGCTCAAAATATATCGCAATACTTTCCAATTTTACAAGTGAAGATTTCATCTATTTTCTTAATATTGTATGATCATACTTCTACAAAAATGCGAGGATATTCATACAAATTTTCTATTCTATATAAGTAAGAGGCTTCTTAAATCACTCAGTAGTTCAAGCCTTTACTGCCAAAGTGTCCATTTCGTAAATTTATATATGAACCAGAAAAAAATTAAATTACAACAAAATTAAATTACATCGACTGATGCACTCTAACCATACTTCACTATCATCAACTATCCTTAATTATTAATCAATAAAAACGTCCTCCAAACTCCATAAAAAAAATATCGATAGAAAATTAAAGACGTTACGTATTCCAAACCCATTTCCTCTCCCTCCCAGAAAGAGAAAAACGTACGATACATGCGGGTTCCCTAAAAGGCATAGAAGCAAGATTCACCTTCGATAAAGGTGAAGTCCCGCGATATTTTTACGCGGTTACGAACAGAAACGGGAGGAGATGAAAAGCCGATGGAGCGGCTCGCTTCTCTAGGCCTAGATAGATGAAGATAACATCTGATGTCGGTGAACGCAGGCTACGGGGGGTCCGTTCTCTCGCAACAGGTCTCCAAGTATGTTCCTACCTGTTACGAATGTTCTCGGGGGCCTCGTCATTATAATGTTAAACGATTCGGGAGAGGATCGAGATCGATACTATAGCTGCCAGAAACAGTTCGAAGTGGAGCGGCCCTGTTTCTTTTCGTATGTCCAGGAGGACAGTTTTCTTGCACAATGGTCCTTCGATTATCCATTCCTTTCGTAATTCTGTTGGAACATTTTTTAGACATATTAAATGACTAAGAGGACTTAAGGGAGTAAGAGAACTAACTTAAGGGAGTATTTTCCTCTGACAACTTCAGAAAATCGACTATCTTTTTGAACGTACACTAAATGAAACTGTAAGGTGATGATTTTAAATTAATTTATAAATGGTTCTTTGTGAGGACGTCAAGAGGTGGTTCATGAAGGTTCAAGTTATTGAAGAATTTGAAATTTTGAAAAATCTTTCAATGCACCTTTTTCCAGAACAATATGATGCAAAGGTTAAACCTGTCCTTAATATTTTCCCCAAACACAGAAATAGATAAATGTTTTGGAAAGTTGGTCCGATAAGTAAGGCAAACTCCAAAAGCAAGCACAAGATGAATAATGCGTTAGACTTTAGAACTTAAGGTAATGTTTCTAGAACGTGTTTATCGGTAGAACAAACAATAGAACATGATTCATGAAGAAAGAGCAGATGATCTAACGTCTGGACGAATTCATGGTGTCCCTCGGCGTGCCTCGTCGCTTACTAGGTTCTTGAAAATAATTGCACCGTTTAGCAGATTCCAGGAAGTCGACATTTATTTCTTTCGCTCGATAGATATCATTAATTATTCAGCGTGTGTGAGTGACGTAAGTCGATCGTAACACGCGTTGTCGTCCAGTGTTTAGCAAGTCTTAGCATGCTATTATCAACCATAATCATTGTATTACGAGCGAGTAGCAATTACCTTCGCGTTTCTGATCGTCTGATAATCTCTTAATCCGACGACATTTTACCACTCGGTCAGCATTATTTTCCGGCAATTAATCTCGCTTGTCTACAATGTTGGACAGTTATTGTCTTGTGGACATTTCGATTATCTGTCCCTCCATTTTGTAATTTATCATTTGTTCACCGTTTTTGTAATTTATCATTCGATTTTATAATTTATGCAACGATTATCTACGAGTTTGCGTGCGAATATTTATGAGCTAGTTTCCTGTACTCCTGTAATGTTTGTCGAAGTTTCAGTCGAAGAAGCTAAATTGAAACGTAAAAGGAGACTAGGAAATAATCAAGGCTCTTCCATACGCTTCTTCTTCTGCAAACAGGGCATAAAACCCGGCCGGTCATAAATCCGCGACCTACGGCTGGAGCCCTCTCTGTCTCGTCTTCTTACGTGCAAAACTAATTTCCTCCTCTAATAGACCGTACTTCTTACGTTCCACTTCTATTCGCCAATATTCGAGGACACAAACTGCCAACGAATTAGCGTTCTTTTGACGCGAATCTATAAACGAGATTCGTGCTGCAAGAGACGTTTATTCCCTCGCAAATTACGAGCTTGATGGAACTATTTAGCACGAGTTGAAAGAACGTGACCCTTCATACATCTTTTTTTTTTTAAATTTACTCATCGTTCTTATAAACATTTCATCACATAAGGGAACATATTAATAGGTTATCACTTTATTTTTATATTCTCAGTCATATAAATATTTCATCACATGAGGGAACATATTAGAAGGTACTCCATCTACTAGGCTCAGAAATTTACAAATTAAAAAATGTACAAAATCATGAGCTCTAAAGATACTTATCACTTTATTTTTATATTCTCAGACATATAAATATTTCATCACATAAGGGAACATATTAGTAGGTACTCCATTTATTAGGTTTAAAAATTTACAAATTAAATAATGTACAAAATCAATAGCTCTGAAGATACTTATCACATTATTTTTATATTCTCAGACATATAAATATTTCATCACGTGAGGGAACATATTAGTAGGTACTCCATTTATTAGGTTTAAAAATTTACAAATTAAATAATGTACAAAATCAATAGCTCTGAAGATACTTATCACATTATTTTTATATTCTCAGACATATAAATATTTCATCACAAGGGAACATATTAGTAGGTACACCATCTACTAGGCTTAGAAATTTACAAATTAAAAAATGTACAAAATCATGAGCTCTAAAGATACTTATCACATTATTTTTATATTCTCAGACATATTTATTCCGGTATGAAAATGTGCGGGTATGTAAAAAGTGATAGAAAAATCTTTCGATCTGAATATGATACAAATCATCTGATTTGCGCAACAGTTATCGAGTCGAGCAACAAGGTGAATACAAAGAAAGTTTTGAACGACAACTAGTCAGCGACAGGATCGTTGCGAACGAATTGCTCGTCGAGCTCGTAAACTATGACGCCGGTTTAATTACACAGTGTCCTGGTCACCGTTGAACACGTTTCTGTCGCAACGCGAGCCAATAAAGCCCGGGGAAATCTTTGTTAAAAGATCGCCGCGAACCAGATAAATCTCAATACAAAGTCAATTATAGCTGGCAGCTATGGTCGCGAAGGTGGGCGTGAATAGGTCGAACGAAGCGTTTGCATCACGTGTAACGGTGCAACTTCTCGATGATTTACAAATTCTGGGTAAGCTGGGTTGAGAAACCTCCTCGTTGACTGACAGCTCCATCGAGCAATAGAATGCCGTTGTTTTTCCTCGAACAACTGTCGTATAAACGTTGTTTATTAAAATTAGACACTTCGTACCTCGCTCCATTGGCGATTAAGAAGAAATTACGAGCATTTTGTGGCCAGTATTTTTGTTGCGCGTGAAACAAACAGTTATTA